TATCTATCTATCTATCTATCTATCTATCTATCTATCTATCTATCTATCTATCTATCTATCTATCTATCTATCTATCTATCTATCTATCTATCTATCTATCTATCTATCTATCTATCTATCTATCTGTCTGTCCATCTGTCTGTCTATCTGTCTGTCCGTACGTCTATCTGCCTGTCTGTCTGTTCATCTATCCATATATCCACACAGGTATGGCTTAACGACCCAGTTGTCACGATCCTGGCAAACACCACCAAGGAAGAAGATGCTAGAAACACACAAAAAGGCGCGGCTTCATCTGTCGATTCTACTAACACCAAAAGCAGCTGCGAGAAGACGAATTCAAGTAGCAGGCCCCTGTGCAAGATCTGTTTGTCAGAGGAAGCTTGTGTGGCCTTTGTCCCGTGCGGACATATTGCCAGTTGCCCGGATTGCGCTAAGCGTTTGGAGAAATGTCCCGTCTGCCGGAGTGAAATTAAAAACTGGCTTCGTACTTTTATTTCCTAGTTTCAGTATGAAAAAAACAACAAATGCTGAGATAATCTATTGGAAGAAATGGAATATTTTCTATTGGTAATCCGCCAGGGGAATTACAAAATTTAATTGGTCTGTCTTGAACGGGATTAAAAGGTTCCAAAAGCTAAGTCAGAACCTTCCACAAAGTGGATTTGAAAACTCCTCAAAATTTTGACTCAACGAGTAGTTACGTCATTGTAATCGTGAATATAATGACACACCAATGAAAGCAAAAATTTAAATCATTTTCAGTTCAAAGAAAGACGAACGTTTTCTGAAAGTAATATTGATAATAATAATATATACATATATATATATATATATATATATGTATGTATGTGTGTGTTTCTAACTTTCTGATACACTTTCTTCAGAAGAGTGTTCTTATTTCTTTTGTATTTGGCCTTTTATAATATCGTTGTACTTTAGTATATATTGTGTAACCATATATCTAAGTAGTTCAACCAATGCATTGCTTGCGTAGTTCAACCAATACATTGCTTGTGGAGTTAAACATCTTTCTAACATGTGCTATGTAGTTTCTTAAACATGGTGTCTCGTTCATTACAGCATATATTTTAGTAAATATTCCATCTTTTCAATCAAGATGATAGTATAATGGATATAGAAGATACGATTATTGTAAATGCACTTTTTATTATCTCAACTTGAGAAGTCTCGGTGTTGTGAAACGATTTTGTTGAGCTTAAAAAAAAATAATCGACTTACAATTCGCTGCCTTTAAATCACCCCATTCTGAATGAACAATCACATTTTCTTTTATATTGTATGTTCAGTCAGAACCGTGGATGACTTTGGTCAAATTTTCTTCCCCGATTGTTTAAAACTTATTTTGATATTTTTGCTCCGATTTGTAATTAATTGATGACGTATAAATGTGAATTACATTCCTGGTTTTCTGTGCGGTCTAAACCGTGTGAACTGGAGGTCAACCCATGGCGTTAGCCTAGGCAAGCGAAAGCAACAGCAGAACCCCGTGTGGATGGGACTCATTAACCTAGGAAGGCAACTCATAGAAGGGAAGGGGAAGTATGAATTAAAACCCGAGATGGAGTCCCGTAGGGGGTATAATGCTGATGCATTAAAAAAACTCCTCAACTCCTTCGAAGCTAAGGGAGCCAAGCTGTATCATCCACACATTATGCTCCCTTGTGTTCAGCAGATGCGAGGAGAGTGTTGATTGGCTCTATATTTAACAAACTTATCATCCTAAATACAAAAATCACATGCCTAAACCACACTGCCATCCACGGATGTCATACGATGCGTTCATTGAAAGGTAAAATGTAAAACAAAATAATAAAAAGAAGATTTTAAAATGTTCATGTGTGATTAAATCATTTCCTTGATATTTCTGTAGGTATAATTGGTGGAATCAAATCAACACTGTATTTTAAATTTAAAATAAATTACACGTTCGTCAAAAATACATGAAATATGAGTTGTTCTTTTTTTTTTTAAATAATTTTTATAAATATATATATTATTTTATTTAGGTTGGGGGGACAAAGTAATATGTTCTTAAGATATGCTGTGGACATAATCACCAAAGCCACTGCTTTAAAACAACGTCACTTGAATTAAACAAGATATTACACAAATTGTTGCTGTAAGCTGTACCCGGCAATGTATTTACCTACTAATTTTTAATCCATTTTCTATAAGTTGTATCGAAAAAGAAACAGCTATCAACCGGGAAGTTTATGAGGCTACGATACCTTCCAATAAATTTGAATGTACATTTTAACTACGCTAAAGTGTCGGCTTGTAAAGCCTGGAATGACATTTTAAAGGAACTATTCTAAAGTTCCACAGCAAAGGGAGGGAAATGATTGCCTTCATCCAGCTCCTGATAACCCATGCTACGTTATTTTGCAATGATGAACGATGTTTAAGTTAAATTTATAAGGGTCATATTTTTATTATAGTTGATTTTACAGGCATATAAATTAAGTTTGAAAAAAAATTCCTATAAGAAAAAAGCTTTTCAAATTGATGTGTTAAATTTTGTCTGCCAAGTTTTCATTTTAAATGTCAGGAAATCAAATAAGCGTAAGTGAATTAATACATCTCCAATACAATTGCAGGCTAGAATAAGTAGCTGAAAATAGATATGCAAGCAAAAAAAAAAAGGGAGAAGTTAACTGTTAAATAAAACAAGTGTGCAAGTTGTTTGTTTTTTTATCGTCAATCATTCCAAAGTCTCTCTACAACTGGAGCGTTATGATCATTATTGTAATTATTATCAGGTCTACTTACTTTAGGTTTTATTTTAGAGACGAGGTTCTGAACATGTTTTTTCAAAGTGAAAGAACTGATTATTATTTTAATAATGGGTATGTACTAACACTTACCATATTATTATTGATCTATAACCTTTGGGGGAAACAACATAACATAAGCACCTTATCATTGTCATTTTGAAATGTATCTTTATTAATTTAATACTCAAATACTATAACTTAATAAAGCATAGCACTATAAACCAGCGATTCTCAACCGAGGGTCGCGAAATCCCCCCCCCCCTACGGTCGGAAAAACACATGTTTTTGAAGTAGAAACAAAATAACTTTATGGTTTGGGGTCACCTCAACGCCAAGAACTGCATTAAAAGGTCGCGTCTTTAGGAAGGTTGAGAACCACTGCTAATCAAGGGCAAGAAAAAAGTTTTTTTTTTTGCCCAAACCTTTCAGGGATTATATATCAGAATGCACATCAATGGTATTATACCCCTTTATGATGAGTCTCCTTCATTAGTATGCTGAGAGTAGTTTCGTTAAAAAACAAATTGTCATCTGTGTTAAAACTAATGTGTCATCAATGTTAACAAATCAATTCGTCATTTTTGTTAAAAAAATGTCATTTATGTTAAAACTAACATGTCATCAATGTTAAAAAAACAATTTGTCATTTATGTTTTAAAAAAATGTGTCAGCTATGTTAAAACTAACATGTCATCAATGTTAAAACAACAATTGTCATTTATGTTTTTAAAAAATGTGTCATCTATGTTAAAACTAACATGTCATCAATGTTAAAAAAACAATGTGTCTTTTATGTTAGAAACAATTTGTCATCTATGAGTAAACAAATTTTAAAAGTAAAAAAAAAATTAAATGAAATTAAAAGCTTAACACATGATTTGCAGACAAATTTTAACCATAACCAGAGTATAGATTTTTTAAAAAAATATACAATTTATCGTTGACCGGTGATTTACCGATAGTGATATATAATCAGTAAATCGATTTATATTCACAAAAAAGATGTAAGGAAAAAAATGTAAATTTTAAACTTGAATTCCAAAGATTTTGCTATCATATTTTTTACACAGCAAATTACAACACGAGTCCTGTATTTTTTTTTTTTTCATGGATGTTGGCGTCAGTTATATTTTACGCTTTTCAAAATCAAAATTT